CGATCCGGGGCGAGAGCCTGGGCACGCTCTACCGGACCATCGTGCAGGAGGCGGAGTACTCGCGGCGCCGCGACGTGCGGGGCGAGCGCCTGGGGCTCATCGAACAGTTGGGCTACGTGCACCGCAAGAAGAAGGTGCCGCCGCCCGGCGCGTCGGGCCTGGGCTCCCTGGCGCGGTCGCGGCGCGTGCCGCCGCCGCGGGCGAGCGCCGACGTGCTCGCGGACGTGAAGATGTGGCGCGAGCGGCGGCGGCGGTCCCAGTTCGCGAGCACGCTCGCGGACCAGCTCACGGCGATCCAGAGGCTCCAGATCGCCAACGAGCCCGTGCCCCAGCAGCTCTGGCTCGAGCTCGACCGGGCCCAGCGGGCGCCCCACCTCCTGCCCGTCGTCCCGACGCCGGGGCCCGGCGCCTACCGGGGCGTCGCGGCGCCGTCCGGCGCGCCGAGCGCGAGCTTCGGCCCCGCGCCGGACGCGGCGCGGCGCGCGGCGGAGGAGCGCCGCGAGCCGCCGGGCCCCGGGCCGGGCCAGTACGTGCCGCCCATGGCGCCCTTCGGGGCGACGCGCGGCGTCGCGCACCGCTTCGACCTCGGCCCCGCGCGCCTCGTGAAGGACCGGTCCGCCTACGCGCCGCGCTCGTCGCCCGCGGCGCGGGCCGAGGACGGCCTCGCCGATTCGGTGACCATCGAGGAGCCCCCGCGGCCGCGGACGCCGGCGGAGGACGACGACGACGACCCCTTCGACACGGGCTCCGTGGGCGTCGTCGCGCCCGAGGACCGGCGGCGCCGCCGCGACGGCGCGCGCGCGGCGGCGAACGACGACGCGGCCAGCCAGGCGTCGAGCCACGCGCCGACGGTGCAGAGCGCGGCGACGGGCGGCGAGGCCTCCGTGCCCAGCGTCGCCCTCCTCTCCTTCTCCACGGCCGACGACACGACCGTGTCCGCGCACACGAACGCGTTCAAGTCGTCCGGCGGCGCGACGAACCTCCAGCCCAAGAAGAAGCCCCCGCCCAAGAAGCAGGAGCGCTCCTCCGCCTGGCGCCCGGGCAGCCTGCGACGCAACTACTGACATAAGCTCTCTCGCACTTTTCCTCGCACACGAGAAGTATGAGGAGGCTGGGGCGGACGGAGGTGCCAGAGCCACTCCAGTGGGCTGGACGATCTATCGCCCGGAAACCCGGGGTGATCAACAGTCTAAAGCAGATCGGAGTTAATTTTGACCCCTCGAGCTATGGGAGCTATTGGCACACTTTTTTCGACTTTTTTTTTTCGATGCACCTACGCGCCCCGGCGGACCCCCGGGGCACCAGGGGGTGGGGAAGGGCGCTGCGACGCGGCGGGTTGTCGAGGAACTCGCTTTAGCGCGCGTGCGACGGCCGCGTGTCGCGCCCGCGCGGGACCGCGCGGCGCATTACGACGGTCGGCGCGCGTTCGCCCCCCCCCCGCGCTCGCGCACGCCCCGGGCGGGTCCCCGGGGACCCCCTGGACCCTCCGCGGCTCGCGGCGCAAAAAAAAAAAAGTGAAAAAAAAAAGTGACCATAGCTCGGGGGGTCAAAATTAACCCCGGGTTGCTTTATCGCCACAATCTCGCCGCAAACGTCTCCATCAGGTAAAAAGCGAGAGACGCGTTGCACGCCGCGTCGTCGTCGTCGTCTCTCGGCAGGCCGGCCTCGTCGAGCCACCTCGAGATCCTGTTCGAGCATGACGTGGTGGAGGAGCTTGCCGTGGGCGCTTGCTTTCTGGCGGAGCTTCGTGCCCATTTTTGACGCGGCGGCGGCCGAGGCGTCGGAGGTGGAGGCCTACGCGCGCGCGTGGGCGACGGGCGGCGACGGGGCGCGCGGCGGCGCCGGAGCCGAGGCCGAGTGGCTCCGGGGCTTCGGCCCCATCGACGTCGGCTGCCGGATAGAGATCGACCGCGTCGGCCTCGACGGGTCGGGCGCGCCCCCGAGCGCGACCTGGGTCTTCGCGGACGGCGGCCGCCTCGCCGTCGACGCCGGCGCCGAGTCGGTCGCCGCCGCCGCGGCGCGCTTCGCCGCGCGGCCGGCGGTCTGCGAGTACCGTCCGGGCGGCGGCGGCGGCGGGCGCGACCTCCCCGACGTCGCGCTGCTCATG